GATGAGACTGATGAGGTCCGTGACGACGCGACATCTGTTCAAGTCGACCAGGAGCCAGAAGGCCGTGCAGTGCGGGGTGGCCGGCGGCGGGTACTCAAATTGGAGCCGTAGCCTAACCGTCTCGGAGGCTGCCATCTTGCTCGGTGCTCAACGGAAGCCGAGAGACGCCACGGGGCCCGCGAGAGGCACGCTCCGGCGGCCCGCCCCCCGGAACCGGCCGCGTGCGCCGCCTGTTGGTGGCCCGCGGCCGCGGCCGGCCTCGTCAACGGCCGGGACCCGGAGCGTGGGGGGTTCCGAGGCCGTCTGTTCTCGGCAGGGCTCCTGAAGGGTGTCGCTGAAATACATGCCTGACGTTCCTTTCCTGCCGAGCACTGCGAGGGCCCCTGGTTCCCGCGCGACTCTGGATAGACAGGCACTTCTCAGCAGTGGCCTTCTAAGATATTTGCTCATATACGTAAAATTATTTTAAAAGCAATAGCCGAACACATGTCGGTGACACAATTTTCCATCATAAACCGGGCGCGGTGGCTCACGCCTGTAATCCCAGCACGTTGGGAGGCCGAGGCAGGAGGATTGCCTGAACCCAGGGGTTCGAGACTAGCCTGGGCAACTTGGCGAGACCCCGTCTCTATAACAAATTTTTTAAAAATTAGCCGGGCGTGGGGGCGCATGCCTGTAGTTCCAGCTACTTGGAAGGCTGAAGCGGAAGGATGGCCCGAGTCCAGCAGGTCGAGGCTGCGGTGGCCGAGAGCGTGCCACTGCCCTCCAGCCTGGGCGGCAGAGTGAGACTCCAACTCAAAGATAAATAAAATAAAATGTGATATGATTGTAGATCCACAGGCAGTTGTAGACAATAATAGAACGATCCCATGTACCCTTTACCCGATGTCCCCCAATGACTACTAAAATGTTGACATTTACACTCTGGAGTGCAGTGGCACGCTCATGGCCGCCGCAGCCTCGAGCTGCTGGACTCAGGCCATCCTTCCGCTTCAGCCTTCCAAATAGATGGCACTACAGGCGTGTGCCAGCACACCCAGCTAATTTTTTTATTTATTGTAGAGACGAGGTCTCACCATGTTGCCCAGACTGGTCTCGAACCGGTAGGTTCAGGCAACCCTTTCGCCTCTGCTTCTCAAAGTGCTGAGATTACTACCCGGCCTATTTATGCTCTCAAAATACAGAACAGGCGGGGTGCAGTGGCTCATGCCTCTAATCCCAGCACTTTGGGAGGCTGAATTTAGAGGATCACTTGAGGCTAGGAGTTTGAGACCAGTCTAGGCAACACAGGAAGGCCAGTCTCAAAAAAATTTTTTAAAAGGCAAAAAGCAAACTTAGCCAGGCCTGGTGGTGTACACCTGTAGTCCCAGCTACTCGGGAGGTTGAGGTGGGAGATCACTTGAGCCCAGGAGGTCAAGGCTGCTATGAGCTATGATCACACCAATGCTCTCCAGCCTGGGCAACAGAGCAAGACTGTCTTAAAAACAAACAAACAAAAATACAGAAGACTTCTTTCTTCTTTCTTTCTTTCTTTCTCTTTCTTTCTTTCTTTCTTTCTTTCTTTCTTTTCTTTCTTTCTTTCTTTCTTTTCTTTCTTTCTTTCTTTTCTTTCTTTCTTTTTTTTTCTTCTCTGAGTTGGAGTCTCACTGTTGACTTGCTGGGCTCAGGCAATCCGTCCACCTCAGCCTTCCAAGTAGCTGGAACCACAGGCCTGCACCACTGTGCCTAGCTTTTTTTTTTTTTTTTTTTTTTTTGTAGAGACGAGGTCTTGCCAAGTTGCCCAGGCTGGCCTCGAATCCCTGGATTCAAGCAAGCCTCTCATCTCTGCCTCCCAACTATTTTTTATTTTAGCCATTCTGGTAGATGTGTTATGGTATCTTGTTTGAATTTGTCTCTACTGTTGAACAGCTTTTCCTAAGTTTATTTACTTTCTTCAGTGAAATAGCTCTTGAAGTTCTAATTGGATCACTTGCCTTTTTTACTGTGAATTTTTTTTTTGAGTTGGAGTCTCACTGTCGCCCAGACTGGAGTGCAGTGGCCGCTCCTGGCCACCACAGCCTCAACCTGCTGGGCTCTAGCAAT